TTGACAATGACAGAGAGCTACACTCTTTCCAAACACCTGCTCCTCAATAACTCAGCACAAATCTTCCTGCCGTCCTCACAGAAACGAACAAGTGATTTCAAAGTGGATCTGTGGGTAGCCTGGCCTTTTTTCTATACTATTATTATCTCAAACATTCTCAAGTAGCCTTTTAATGGCATGCTCAATCTCTCATACTCTTGAGGTGTCTTCCTTTTTATGCTGAAATATGCTACATTTTACGTTTTAGAACATAACAAAAAAGGAAGACTCTCACACGCTGACCCTTGATCTGAGCAAGCTGCTGCCCTCTTGCCCCCTTTTAGAGCCAGACTTTTCCGATGGCTGGCAGTGTACATACTCCCCAGCTCCTTTCCCCACCATCTACTCCACTCCCTGCTCTGCTCCCTCTGGTCAGATATCCCCTGTCATCACACTACTGGTACTGTCTTGTTAATATCACCGTTCTCCAATTCCATATCCAGTGGCATTTTCCAGAGTGGTCCTCATCTGAATCGAACCTCCTCGCACCACTGGACACCTGTCAACTCTCACCTCCTTCTTAATACACTCTCTTTGGGTTTCTATAACTTTGCCTTTCTGGCTTTCCTCTCACCTCTCCGGCTATTCCTAAGTCTCCTTTGCAGGTTCATTCTTTTCTACCTGGACACAAAACATGAAGAGTTCCTTAAGGCTGAGCCCTAGGCTGCTTCTTACTCTACACCTTCTCCCTCACCCACAGCTTCAACCACCAACGAAATACAAATGAAACCCAAGTTGACATCACTAGCTTATGCCACTCCTCTGAGATTAGACCCACATATCCGCTGGCCTACTTGACATTTTCTCTTGAATGATTCAAAGGTACATCTCTAGCCTGTTCAAACAGAACTCATCCTCTCCCTCCCCCTCCCGCTACAAACCTGTCTTCTCCCCAGGTTGTCTTGCAGTGGATGGAACCCTCCATTCCTCTAAGTCACACCCTCGCTCCCTCTTCCAACGACTACACCAAACCCATCACCCAGGTCTGTGGATTTCACCTTCTTATTATGTCCTCACTCTAACACCTTTCTATAGTTCCAGGGCGACCACCCTCATCCAAGCCACTGTCATCTTCCCATGAAGCTCTGTATCCACCTTCTTTGTAGTAGCTCCCTTTCAGTCCACTGTCCACAAACTGGCTGTGACCCCATCACCCTCCTGTTTAAAACCATTACAACAACATGCCGCTGCTCTCAAGATGAACATAAAATGCCTCAGCCTAGCCCCATGTGGTCCAGTCCTGGCCGACCCTGCCAGCTTCCTCCAGCATCATTCTCCCTGCTGTCTCCTGACCTCTAGCCGTGGTCCCCTGTTCTTCGGCCAGAAGCCCTTACCTAGTGAATTCCTAACTCATCTCCAGACTTCAGCACAAATGTCATTCCTTAGAGAAGGTCTCCCTTCCTATTAGTCTCGGTTAAATTTTTTTTTTTAAGCGCCACCTTTCTTACCCTAATTGCATTTATCACCAGTTGTAACGACTCATTTGCGAAACTGTTGACTGAAGTTTCCCCTACGGGACTGAAGCTCCATGTGGCCAAGGGTCTGCATCTGGTTTGCACCCTGAGTGCCTCACAGAGTCCCAACACCCACAGGGCTGACCACTGACTGCCAGCCGGGGCACTATACTTTTTTTTTGTCTTTGGGCCAGAATAGTATTTGAAAATTTCTTACAATTATATTCAAATATAGCATTCTTTTTAAGTTGATCACCTGTCAAATTTGTAACAACTTAAAAAAAAAAAGAAAAAACCCTCAAAGTCTGTAACTCCAGCTAACCTGCTTCCTCAGACAGGAACAAATGATGAATACCCTCAAATTCCGCCCAGAATCGTGTCGCTGTAACAAGCAGTTCAAAGAGTCAGAGGTCACACGCTGGGAACAGTGCAAAGACTGACCGTGGCTCATTTTAAAATATTTTAGTATACTGACTGCCTCTGGTTTGTACACTCATTATATAGAGAAAAAATGGTAAGGGACGTTTGAAATCAATGTTGGGTTTGGCACTAAACAAACTTAGCACTGATTCTGGCATTTATTATCTCTGTGATGTGGGGCAAATAATACTTAAATCTTAGTTTCTCACCTGTTAAAATGGGGATAACAACTAGCTCTCAGGGGTGCAAACAAGATAACATATTTGAAAGCATTCTGTGCACATAAAATGTTACATGAATGTAAGTCATTAATAATGATGGCTCCAGAAATGCACTGTTCTTTTCTATCAGCCTGCCTGATTTTCCGTCAATGTTTAATACTTAATATGCTTGTTTTGCTTCTTACAAAAAAAATTCAAAGATAAAGGAAAAATTTTCAATTAAGGGCTTTCAAGACTCTCTTGGTTCACAATAGTTCCAAATACGAATCACCAAACTAGGTGTAGAGAATTTGTTGCGAGAGAAGAGATTTTGTAAAGTAGAAAATTCCCTCAAGCTGACGCTTTAAAATTTTTTTTTTATTGAAGTATAGTTGATTTACAGTGTTGTGTTAGTTTCTGGTGTTCAGCATAGTGATTCCAGTAACAGATACAGATATATTTTCTTTTTCATATTCTTTTCCATTTATAGTTTATTATAAGCTGTTGAATATAGTCCCCTGTGTTATACACAGTAGGACCCTGTTGTTTATCTATTTGTTTATCTATTTGGATCTGCAAATCCCAAATTCCCAATTTATCCTTTCCCCTTTGGTAAGTTTGTTTTCTATGTCTGTGAGTCTATTTCTGTCTTGTAAATAAGTTCATTTGTACCATTTTGTAGGTTCCACATGTAAGTGATATCATACGTTATTTGTCTTTCTCTGTCTGACTTACTTTACTTAGAATGATAATCTCCAAGTCCATCTATGTTGCTGCAAATGGCATTATTTTATCCTCTTTTATGGGTGAGTAATATACCATTGTGTGTGTGTGTGTGTGTGTGTGTGTGATGCGTATGTGTGTGTGTGTATATATATATACACACACACACACATATATACACCACATCTTCTTTATTCAATCATCTATCGATGGACACTTAGGTTGCTTGATGTCAAGCTGGCACTTCTTACAATGGAGACAGATGAGTGACCCACCTCAGGTGGCTCATGTACTCTATATATTCTCTTTATGAAAAAGACTGATGCTCTTGTCCCAGCCAGAAACCTGGGAGCCCTCCTGATCACATCTCCCTCATCCCTGACTTCTACCTCTCACCATCCTCTCTGCCTGAGATGCCTCAGCCCAGAGCCCAGAGCCCGTTTCCACCTGGGAAACTCCCGCTTACACTCTCTTTTGCCAGAATCAATGTCATCCCCTCTCTGTCCATTGTCCAACTGTTTCTTTCTCTGTTTCCACAGTTCACTGAGTTTCTCCTTTAAAAAAATTTTTTTCTCGTACTTATAAAAAGAACATGTTAAAAAAAATACTTTTACAAGTGAAACTGGGAAACAGAAATACAGTGAGGAATAAATAAGATTATTCCACCATCAGAGAAATCATCATTATATTTTATTTCCTGAAGTGTTCCTAGCACCTAGAACAGTGTCTGTGCCCCATGCAGGGGGTCAGTATTAAACACCTGTTGAATGAATGAATAAATATTCCTGAATTATCTCAAGTCCTAACGTGTTTTTCATTTCTAACATGGCAGGTCCAACTCTCCAAGGACTCTTGCAACTCTCAGAATATTCCTTTTTCACAGCATTCTCTTGTTGTTTCACTGCTAAAGCATCTTCTTATCTCTCCAAATGTATCAAATTTTTCTCCAAGTTCTCCCCCTGTGAGTTTCTGTTCTCTTCCACTTTCGGGGTGTGGGGAGGTCTCTGTCTTTCAGGAGTTACTAGTTTTCCCATAAACGTCTGGAGAGCCTTGGTTGTCTTCTCACACTTAAGAAGCAAAGCTGAGAAGCTACTAGAAGCTCTGGGCACATGGGAGAGGTCTGTCAAACATGGGCACCACCAGTTAAGAGTTGTGCGTCTTGTTGGAGAGCTGCCAGTGCCAGTGCCTCGGAGCTGTTTCCTCCAAGTCGATCCGATTCCCTAGAGAGGGTGAAGGCCAGACCGTCGGTGTTCCGGGAACTGGCTGGGAGGAGACAGGTGGGAATATCTCTGCATTAAGCAGCTTTTCATCTAAGAACTTTTTCTCCCTATTTTCCAGGTGGCACCCCCAGCCCCATCTGTGCTGGTACATGCCTAGTCCAAAGACCCTCTGTTCTACCTTCCCAGGTAATAAACCTCCAGTTTCCTTCTGAGGTCAGAGCATCCGTCCCTTTGCTGCATTATGGTGGGAAGGAATTAAGAGAATCTCCTTGTTTCTTAAGCGGACTTTCAACCAATCAGCCTGAGTTTAGTATCACTTTTAGCCTCCATCTAATGCCATCAATTCTGGGGCCCCACAGGGATGCTTCCTGGCTCTCCCCACCCCCACCACTGGCTAACTCAGCTTTCTCACATCTGCCAAGTCTGTTACTACTAGCCCATCTGCTTCCCAGCTTTCAAAACATT